CCCGAGCGGGCGTGGCTTCCACCGTCACTGTATACGCGGATGCTGCGCGGCGCCGGGGGCTGCTCGCGGCCGCTTGCTCATCGGCAGCGGGCACCGGCGGGACGCGGCGCCCCTCGCGGCCGCCACCTCTGCGCGACGCCCCCCGGGGCCGCTCCGACCCCAGCGGTTCTCCTTAGCTCCGTGATGTGGGCTCGGGTGGGTTTGGAGTTGGTTTTTGAGCCGGTGCTAGAAGCCGCTGAGGAAAAATGAATGGGGGTGAGGCGAGGAGGTTGGGCGGTGGGAGGGAACCGGGACCCGAGGTCGCGGTGCGAGAGCGCCGCTTTGCTCCCCCCGGGGAAGGCAGACTGAGCTCGCTGCCTTCGGATTGCAGCGCCGAGGTCTCGGGGGGGAAGGAAACCGCAGTCCTGACCTCCCCACAGCTGCCAGGGTAGAGTGTCCACCTCCGGGGGCCACCTCAGGGCGCATGGAGGCTGGAGGCCCCTTGAAGAGGGTCCCGCGCCCTGCTCCGCCGGTCCCCAACGCTGCGCGGTCTACGATTGGGCTTGCAAGAAAGCTTTTGCCCTCTCAGTGAACCACTTAGAAGTAGGACATCTCGGCCTTCAGCCCCCTGTTGTTTCTTTTCCCTCCAGTTCTTGCTCTCCTTCTTTCTCTCTCTCTCTCAGACTCACACACACACACACACACACACACACACACGTGTCTCACTACAAAATAACAGCTTTACCCTGTGACCCCGCGCGCACCCTTGTCCCGGTGCCCTAGAATTAACCCCAAAAAGATTGGGTACTGCTGGGAGGGCAGGGTCCCGCGTAGGGTTCCATTCGCCACACCCGGGTGGGACCCTCCCCACCCCTGCCCGGCCGGCCGCCCTCCTTCCCCTCGACTTCCCCGCGCGCATCTGCTCTCCCCGGGCGCTGCTCACTCCTCTGCGCCCACGTGCCTCCTCTTTGGCCCTCTCGGTCCACGCCTGGGGCCGAGCTCGGACTGCGTTTGTCCTTCGATGGGTTGAGGCATTGGCGTGAACCGTTTAATAAGGCTTCAGTGAGACACGCAGCCCCGAACGCTTGTACACGCTGCGGGGGACACACTGACGTTCCCGGCTTCGCTTTCCCGCGCCGCGATACTTCGTGATTACCTGACACAATGCGATATGGGGGTGTCCATTGTTCCACTGCTTGTTATTGTGGAGTGTTCATTATGACAGTGGTGGAACTTAAAATTACACAATTTGTTGTTAAGATCTTAAAGATAGAATGAATTCGATGTGGGGGTATGAGTAAGCTTTCCGTTAAAATCTCAGTTTGGCCTGTCAAACGAGGCTCATTCTGGGTATTACATTGCCTAATTTGCATTTTAGCATTGTTTTGTTTCTTAAACGTGAAATTAGAGATATTTGGGAGCGTACTCAGGAGGGCTGAGCACCTCCACGTCGGCTGTTATGCATTTTAGCATTATTTTGTTTCGTAAACGCCAATTACAAATACTTGGGAGTGTACCCAAAGAATTGAGCACCTCCTCTCCCCTCTTCTCTTCCCGGTCTGGAGGAAGCGAGGGGAAGCCGCACCCCACTCCTCGTGGCTCGCCTGGGATCCAGCGAGGCCAGAGTGAGCGGAGCCGAACCAGGCTCCGCTCCTGCAAGGGTCCGCGCGAAACGCCCCGGGGAAAAGTTAAAAATCCTGGAGCGGTTATCCGGAACGCAGAAAAGTCAAGAGAGGAGGATTGATGAGGTTTTAGGGAGCGCTCTGAATACAGGCGTCCCCTAATCAAGATTTTTCCAGTAGTCTCTGGGAGCGTACCCAGGTATACGCAGGTTGTGAGCCCAAGTCCTCTGCCCAGGTCTCACAGCCAGTAGTAACCCACAGCGGGGACCTATGGCGACCCATGCAGCAAGGATGCCGAGAGGAGCCCAAACCTGTTTGCACGAACACTACCCTCCCCCCTTCTTGGAACGGCGACACAGCATGCCCCAGTGTGTGAGAGTGGGTGTATTTCGCAGTGAGGAATAGTATTCTAATGCTGTTGCCGGGAGGGAGAAAAGAAGAGTGAGTCTTTTTGGTTTTTAAATCTGAATTTCATCCAAAACATCTGATAAATAATATGTGGGTTGGAATTAGTTTGTTTTCTCTGTTTTGTCCTCTTGGTCTTTAATGAGAAGGAGTGAGAAAACTTTTTTTGGATTTTTGAATATTCTAAAACTGTGGAAACATATGTTGTAAAGTGTACACAAAGAGAAGCTTTTTGTCTTCTGGAAACATATTTAAGTCCCCTCTGTTTCCTTTGGTGCTAGAACCATTACAATTGGTTCACTGTTGTTCAGCTGATATCAAATAACAAGTTATATACCCCAAGTCCTAAGATACAGTTTCACAAGTTAAGAATAAAATAAACAGAAAAGGTGAACTGCAGCCCAGCGTTATATTTAGAGGCAGCTATACTTCCTTTAAAGAAAATTGCTTACTCTGCAATGGTTTAGGAGTTTAATAAAAATAATAATATTAATCAGCCACCTGTTCCTTCACTGGCATATGGTCGTCCAGAAAACTGAGGTGAGAACATTGTATTAGAATACACAATGCATATCTTCAGTGACAGAATGAAAGTTCATAAAGTGTGTGTGAGTGAACTTTTAGTCTAGAATGAACTTCAGAACTAATGATTGTTATACCTTATTAATGGCAAGCTGTAAGTTTCTTGAAATTTATGATAGAAGAAGACATACAAGAGTTGCTGCTTTATGAATTTGGACATACCATGAGTTTAGTAATGTTCTCTGGATGACTTCATACAACCTGTAAGAGTATAATCCTATGTGGATAGGAACAATCTCATACATATTTCAGAAGAGTCACTCTTTTGCTACTATGACTTACCCTTATGCTCTCCAGTCACCAGCTCACACACACACATACACATATCCAAGGCTCTGGACATAGAAAAAGTATTTAATTTTCCCTTTACTACCCCTGCCAGTCACCATAATGGGTACAAGACGACCTTTCATACATTCCTCAGGTATATTTTTGTGACTTCTTTTACTCTTCAGGGCTGCTCTTAGTATTCATTCTAGCCTGATTCACCTAGAAAATACATCAGAAAGTGGATGGCAAGAAGCTAGGGTAATCTGCCTTGGGCCCTTAACCTCTAGATCGGCTTCTTTGTTATCTCCATGAACACCTAACTGAGAGGCCCAGTCCTCATGCCTGGTAAGGAATTAATAAATATTTGCTGATTGATTAGTGTGACATAATAACAAACTTATAAAGAGATTTTCCTGTGTATTATTGGAAATTAGTGCTCACCTTGAACAAGCTCTGTGATTTAGTCAAATATGGAGAGTAAAATACATGGAATAATGACTATGCTGAACACATTATAAGAATTATCTCGTTTAATATTCACAAAATCCTGTAATGCAGCTTCTTTTGTTATCCCCATTTCACAGATAAAGAAACTAAGGCTTACACAAGCTAAGTTATTAACTCACAAACTAGTGAATATTGGGATTTGAATCCATAACTTTCTGTCCAACTCTAGGTTTGGAGTTCTTGACACTATGCTAATCTGCTTTAATGAATTCCTTTTAACAATCTGTATTTTATCTAATCTAAGGCCCACATTTTCCACCTTTTAACATATCTGAGATTGTGATGTATTTTGCAATGAATTTTTACAATGGTAAATCACAGCTTTCTTTCTCCCTCAGTGGTATATAAAATAATAGGATATTTTCCAATCAGTAGTGTATTTGGTTATGTTAGGTTATGCTGTAATAGCAAATCATCAGAAAATCTCAGAGACTTAAAACAACAAAGGTTTATACTTCTTGCTCACACAAAGTCTGCTGAAGATCTGTGTGACTCTCCAGAGCAACTGTGCTCCATGTGATGGTTTGGCATCACACCTCCATAACAGCATGTGCTTCCACAGTCACTACTGTGGGAGAAGATGGAGCCATGGAGGCTCTCACACCAGCAATTAAATTCTCCAGCCTGGCAGTGACATATGTCACTTCTGCCTCCAATCCATTGGCTAGAATTAGTCATATGGCTCTGCCCAACTGCTGGAAAGCTGCGAAGCTCCCATGTTCCTCAAAGGAGAGGAGAACTGGGTGTAGGTAAGCATTTTACATTTATACCACAAAGCTATCTTCATTCAATGAAATATGGTCATTAGGATCAGTTAATGTACATATCAGGGATCTATTTTATTCAAAATCAATGAGCAGCGATTGGCCTGTGATTTGTTGTATTCCATCTTAAAACATACTTTCAAAGTCCAAGCTGATGTTTAATTTCAAAGAACAAAATTCAGAATCAGTTTCAAAAAGAACATTATGGAACAGCATAACTATAATGCAGGGGTTTTAACCAGGGTCTACAGATGAGCTTCCAGGGCTTCAAAACCTCCTAAAATCGTATACAAACCATTAAGTGCATTTTTTCTGAG